AATTATGCCAATAGGTCGAAACCATGAATGCGATAGCAACAAATTATTATACTATACAAAGTAAGGCTAGCAGCGAACTCTTTTGGACCTGATATCAAGTAACTCCAGAAAATGCTGGTGCAAAAGAAAACGACCTGTCCAGAAAAAAGTGCTCTTTTCGCAGTCTCTTCGCGTTGATAGTGCAGCACATAGAACGGTAGACGAGCTGTGCACTAGTGCTTACCAAGATAGCGCGTGCAGGCGATTGCGACCATACTGTTAGCTGGTAGCGGCGAGAGAAGGAGAGACGTGAGACGACGTCATTAAGGCGGCTTATGAGGTCATGCCAATCTCGCCGCTTTATTCTTAGGCGCTGCAGCAGAGCCAGCGCCAGACAGGCCAGGCGCAGCTCGAGCTATGCATGAGCTGTGCGAGAGGCGTAGCGCGGTGGCTATAAGTGATGAAGATGTTGAATGGCGATGAGGTGATGATGACACTACAGAATACTTCTCCCTGCAGAAGTAAACCCAGAATGAAAACAGTGAGAGCATAAGCACAAAAAGTCTTTAGGTCAAAAAACGAAAGGGTCCGTGAGCAGTCCAGGTCGTCAACGAAAAGGGACAATCAGAAATTAGTGGATCTCTGGCGGGCGACACTGGGAGAAACGCAGCGGGCAAAGATGAAAACGCCGGGTCGCTGCGATCATAAGCACGTGCGTCCCACAATGACTTCGCGGGATTATGTCCAAGCAGACGCGGCTGACAAAGGTGGAGGTACCCACAGGTGAAGCCGTGGGATGGCGCCAAAAATGCCGAGCCGGTGATGGGGGCGAGATGGTGCTATGCATTGAAGTGGAGCCAGGACAACTGAGTACTGAAGTGTAAAGGCCGCGGCGTTTCCAACAGCGCACATGGCATTGACATGGCTGTTGACCAGGAGCAGTTGGCAGGCAGTGTTGGCACGGACATAGCCATCGATGGAACACCGGCCTCAGCGTTGCAGTGTGGCTGGCATGCCGACGTGGGTGAACGAGTCGACACGCGTGGAAAGGCCGTGCTACAAGTAACGCACGAAGGTCACGGCAGGCAGGTAGGTTCACTGTGACCGGTCTGCCAATGTGCCACGTAGAGGCGGTAGCCACCTGGTCATGACGAGGGGCATGCCTGAATTGAGGTACATTGTTGTGTTGTGGTGTCGTTCTTTCAAGGCTCCGAAGGTTGGTCATAAGACCCGAAAGGCGTGGGCTCTACTGGAGAGTTGGCTGGCGCACCCATGCTCGTCGGGAAAGCCTGGTGGATGTCTACCTGCGTGGTTGGTACGGAATGGGCTGGCTGTACTGCCATCGACGAATTTGTCATCTGGTTCCCAGTCATTGTAGCAGCATACCGGAAGTTCTGCCTTAGCATGTTGTGGGCAGGAACTTCAGCTGCGGGAGACGTCGAGTTAGGTGGTAGTGGCCGCTTTCAGGATGCACAGATTGCCAAAGTCGATGGAAGGTCATGCTCAATGAATAATGTCGACTGTGGAAGCTCCGCAATCGGGTGTTGAATAACGGGCAAAATTATATCGGGCCCAGACTCCGAGGCGTGGGGCAAGGTAGCCGTCTTGGAGTCTTGCGGCGCTAAGGTGTTGCATGCCGTCGGTGTCGCGAAAAACGTGCACGTGGCAGGCATGTGCGACAGATCTTTATATGCAAGCTCCGAGAGAACGGACTTCTCAAAGGAGGGTTCAATCCCGGTGGGGGCGTCTCTACCTTGTGTTTCTGCAATCGGATCTGAGGTAGAAGTAGTCGTAGCTGGGGTAGTGAGGTCTTTTTCCATAGAGGGCTCCGGGCCAGTTGGTTACGCGGGCTGCAACACATAGGCAACCTTGACGTTGTGGGACACCGGAAGCGGGTGGTACGTGAGGTCGTAGCAGGCAAGCAGCGCTGGGCAGAGGGCATCATATGGCTGCGGGCTCGTGGTAGAAGTGGCTGCAAGATGGCGAAACTCTACCGGAAGCGCTTCGAGCAAAATGGCGTGCATAACGATTTAAGAAGGGTAAGAGCGGACTGAATACGAATACACAAAGAAAGGACACACACACACACACATAGCGCTACTTTCAACAGTTTATTTTTGTGATCACAACTCTACTTATAGGGCACAACGATAAGCACAACTCCTGCGCAGAAGTAACCGCAACATTACTACGCATCATAATGAACACCAAGGAAATCAAATTCCTTCTTCGTCAGCGCGATAGAAGGCATACTAACACATCTGTCAGCCAACTTTGTGTATTCGTATTCAGCGCACTCGTACCTTTCTTAAACATGGAATACCAACATGCCCATCTTTCCACCTTGGTGTGCATAACCGGCTGGTACGCGACGCCATTCACAGCGAGAACAGCGTCGAGCCGCATGAGCCATGCTTGGGGTAAGGTCGGGTGGAACGGCGGCACTGGCGGGCAGAGTGGTGGAAGCATGGCAGCCCGTAGCTCGTCGAAGGGCGCGTCTTTCGGGTCACCACTGTAGCAGCGAGAGTAGATAGACGTGAGACGACGTTGTGAAGGCGGCCGACGGGGGTCGTGCCAGCATCCGACAAGCCAGGTGCGAGAGCCCGTTCTTTTCTCGTGCAGCTTGAGCTATGCATGAGCTGCACAAGAGGTGCGGCGGCTATACGTGATGATGTTTAATGGCGATGATGATGACGCTACAGTTAGAATAAAAGTTCAAGGTTACTGCTGGAGCGACGCCCCCCCTCCCCTACCTCCTGCATCATTTCCTGCTTGTTAGTTACAGATTGGCAGGGGATTCTTTGTGCAGACTGTGGTGTTACCACATCACTCCCTCCCCCTCTCTTTGAAGAGCAGTCAGGGCTTGTAAAAATTTGTGGGTTGTAGGCGACATCAAGATGATGTAGTGAGAGAAACAGGTTGTAATGTCAGCATTTATAGATGGGGCACACCTGTAGATGTATTGGTGTTACCCGATTCCTCGAAAGCTATGTATGCTGGCTTCAATCGGTTGATCGAAACGAGCATGTCAATACCATTCACGCGTAGCATGAAAATTTTGTCGTCGCGACGAACAACCAGGTAAGGCCCATTGTAGGGTGGCTGCGACGGCCTGGAGACAGTGTTGTCGTGAAGGAAAGCATGCGTGCACATTGCTAGCTGCTGGTGACGGGCGTAGGTCAGCGATGGTGCATCAGAGCCTCGTGACTAAGTCGGTGGGATCTGTTATCGCAGAGTTCAATAGCAGTGCAGCAAGAAAGTTGCCTGGAAGGTCGAGTGGTTGCTCGTATACCAGTTCTGCTGGTGTAGTCAGGATGTCCGGCTTGAAGGTATAGATGGCAGCTGGGATGGCCTCGCACCAGGTTGAGCCCAGATGGCACATGATGGCTGCTTTGAACTGCCGGTAAAAGCCCTCAATCATCCCGTTGGTGCAGATGTGGTGGTCTTTAAGCACTCGACCCAGTGCCACTGTCACACTTTATTTGGGCAAACTTGTAACCGTGAAACTTGGGTTACTGTAAGCAATGCACCCTGTACACTGTTATGGTTGCACAGAGCATCAGTTGTCGATAATCTGACAATCAGTGAAGCGCGTCGGCATTAATACATAGATCATCGAATTTTACAGGTCATCTCAAAAGCTCCAGAATAAGTTCTGAGCGTTCATGTCTGGCGTGCAATTTCTATAAAACGATCTACTACAATCATGGAGTTTCTCGAACACTGAAGGTGCAGTTTGCGCTGAGCATTAGTGAGGGTCATTGTGGTCGTAAAAGAGTACAGCAAAAGTAAAATAAAAAACACACATCTTAAAAAAGCATCGCCCCGATGCTTAGAAGAGAACAGGGGTGAGAAGGGGGACAGAAATGCATGCAAGAATGAATAACAACAAAGCAAAAAAGCACACTAACAAAAAAAAAGGGCAGTACTCAGGGTCTTTTACGTGCTTCAAACGGCTTGAGGCACACGACATCCACGACTTCGGGTTGCGCATAATGTCGTTTAAAGTTGGTGATGCCATCGGGGACAACTGTACGGTTCAAAGTACTGTCGCAGAGGTTTTTCACAGAATCAATGTCGGTGTATTGGAGTCCACACGCAAACAACCACCAGGCGGGCTTTCCACGGAGCATCACTGAAGATTGTAATGGCGGCTGTCGATTGTTTGTTGGTTCTTGATCGAGAGGCGGGTGAGTTGTTGGGTTCCTCTCAACCCTATCGAAAGAGCGCCATGTAGAGGAATGCCAGATTAGAGAGCTCGCCATGTAAGAAAGAGCTTGTCATGTATGAGAGCTCACTTAGTATATAATGTAAATAAACCCTCTTCAAGTCTCTCTTTCTCCTGCCTCGACAACTTCATCCCGGATCTCCAGTGCCTGCAAAACCCGGTCGTAACAAGGGCCAATCCATGCGTGCTTGCACAGCGTCGAAAACGAAGAGCGAATGATACAGATATCATGGAAGAATATTCTGTAAAGTACCCTCAATATGATTGCAGCCCCACATATGTCAGGCTAACTAAAGGTGTGGCACTGCCAATGCAAAGATAGTTTTCTTTTTATTGGTTTAGAGGGGGAGGAACATCTGGGCATGTGCCCACGGCAGCAAGAATGGCGACACACCGATTCGTGGGCGTAGGCCCACCTGCCCACCCCTTGCTCACCTGCATGCAATAACAAGTGCTCACTCTCACCCAGTTGTTGCCCGGGCCACGAGCACGCCGCTGTTGTTTGGCGCTTCGTTGTTGGCGGGGCATCCGCGAAAAATGGGTGCTCGTGTCAAAATGACGAAATGCGGGGCAAAATTCGTAAGTTGTCTGTGGGAAAAATTAATTATATCAAGGTTGTCTCCCACTGTTACTTTGTAACATAGAAGTTGAATATACATGTGCTTCTATAGAGCAACGCTGAGAAACAGAAAAACTTCATTATATTGAAAAATTCGTTATATGGAGGTTCATTATAAGCAGGTTCAAATGTAGCAAGTGACCACAATCTGTGCGAATTTCGGGGCCCTTTCAGACCATCTTGACTTTCTTCAACCTCACTGCATACAGCCCACTGATGAAGGAATAGTAGGCTCCTGTGTCGACGACAGCTGTGACACTCTGGCTGTCGATGAGAACATCGAGGCCACTAGTGCGTCGCCTGGCCTTGCAGGTAGGTCGGGGCGTCGGATCATGGCTACGTTGGCTTACTTTGTGGCTTCTACTAGCGTCTTCAGTTTTTTCTTATGGCTACGAAGTTTCGACGTCGGAGCTACTTTGGAATTGCGGCAGGTTCTTGAGGTTTTGACGCGGTGTGTTTGTCAGGAGCAGAGGATCTTGGGTAGTTTGCCGTACAGCAACCACACCTCCATCAGTTGCTGCTCTTAGTTTTCCAGGTAAAGGCTTGCAGATCGGCCAAGAGCAGGGCTGGCATACTGCCTGCGATGTGGTGGTGCATAGTGGCCTGATGACAATGAACGGTAAGGTCATCGGGGTGTCAACTGGGCTTCTGCGAGGTAGTCAGCGATGTTGTGCTATTGTTCACCCAGCTGTGGGCACGGTGAGTTAACGTCGAAACTTCGTAGAACCATCTGTCGGTAACTCGGCAGCGGCAAGAAAGCACTAGGCATCAAGTTTCTTACATTTCGCCTTTGCAGGCTGACTGGTGATCACCAGATCATTGCCCAGATATTGTCCAATTTTGTGGAAGCAGTTTTCTTCCTGACACGACTGACGTCACTGAACTGCGGGAGCTGACCACCAAGAGCAATGAGGGATAAATGTCGCTCGCACATCTCGGGATCATCACTTGGTAGTGGCTCCGGCAACGAAGCACACGGCATCAAGTTTCCTATATTTCATCTTTGCGGTTTTGAAACGTTTTACTTGGGAAGTAAAAAAACAGCGCAAAAATGTAGACAAGGAGAGAGGAAGAGACGACACCATGCTGAACTCGCAATTAAACTTTATTAAAAGATACATGCACATATATCAAGCATTTGACCCGGTCACGTGGACAACCAAAGGCGTCTGCGCATCAAAGCAAACAACACAAAAAAACATGCCAATCACTTTAACGTGGCAACGCTGAACCCAGGTACCGAACTTCTTTTTCACCAAGGGCCACCAACGGCTTGATTACACACTTTTCTTCCTCCTTTTCAATGAAAAAAGCCTCCATCACTTCCCTGGTACAGTTATCTCAATGTCCAAACAAACAAGTGGCTTTATCTGACAAAGGTTGGCAGCCACACTTTCTACAATGAGCTGACAGGTGCAACCCACCGGTGGCCATTAAAAAGGTTAAGTGTTCTTTTAGTCTTACGTTAATGCACCGCCTGGTTCGTCCTATGTAAACCCCCCCGCATGACAATGGCAACATATATACAACACACGATGTACACTGAACATATCTATTTTTTTCTCTTCTCCGGACAGTATGAGCAGGTCTTTTGTAGACCCGAACTTCTTCTATGCAGGCGGGTGCAAATGGAGGACAACTTCTTGGGAGCGGACATCACTACGCGTTCCCCATACCTACTGGCCACATTTTTCGAGCAATGTGAAAACTTGTGCACGTAGGGTACCACGACCGGTTTCTTTTCATTGCGCACGCGCTATGTTCTCCTGTGCGTATCACTTACGCCTTTGACCCACCTGATTAGCTTCTGACAATTACTCAAGATTCTGTATGCATGCGTGCACGTTTTCAGTAGCGCACTCCGCAGCGCAGCATAAATAATGCTTGACTTAACTATCTTAGAATGGCCTGAGGTGAACGGCAAGATACCCTTTACAGATCGGGGCTTGTACCGCCAACACAAATGTTCTTCATGAAACCGCATTCTAATATCAAGAAACTGAAGCTCTCCTTTTTAGGTAGCTCATAGGTGAAATTGAGCCCATGGCCAGAATCCTTAAAGAAGTTTAATATGTTAGCTTTCATGCTATGCTGACTGTCGGTTTTCATTACAATACGGAAATTATCAACATACCGAAAAATGCTGCAGGACATATTCATCAATTTATCGGCAACGGACCTGTCGAGTTGTCCCAGGAAAATATTACTTAAAACTGGTGCCACCCTAGATCCAATGTAAACACCAGATTTCTGGACATAAAAGTCCCCTTTCCACTCTACACACATTGACCGCAAGTAAAACGTCAGCAATTCCAGGAAGCTTTCCACGGAAACACCGCAACTGTTAACGAAATTAACTTCATTATTGTCCTCAACCACACATGACTTAACACTCTGCAGAAGTTCAACACGCAGTAAGGAGTAAAACATGTCCTCAATGTCGATGCTGAAAGCCGAACAAGAACCCGGATTATTAGTTTTGAGAAATTCTACTACACCTTCAGAGTTCTTTACTACAAAAGGGTCGACTACACTGAAGGCTTCCAGGTGCATCTGCAAGTAACACGACATCTCAGACAGCCAAGTCCCTTTTTCCGATACAATGGCTCTGAAAAAGGAATCAAGTTCATGGGTTTCCACTGAGAAAAAAAACTTGCAAGTTTAATTCTTTTGCCCTTTTCACTCTACTGACAAGACCGGACAGATTCCTATCTTGCAGCATAGCAAGAGCTTGCTGTTTCACCTTCCCTGTTTTAACGTCCACTTTTTTAAAATTCTTCAATACGGCTGTCTCAGATTTTTCATTGTAAGCGCTCTCATTCATGACCACAAACAGTCCTTCCTTATCCGACAAACAAACCCTAAGCCCGTTTCCCTGTAAAAATTCGACGACCATCTTGTCAGGGGAGAGCCTTCGCCTAGCCAACGACGTTTGAGTGCATACGTCTATACAATCAGACACGCTGTTTTAAGGATTCTGGCCATGGGCTCAAGTTCACCTATGAGCTACCCGAAAAAGGAGGCTTTAGTTTCTTGATATTAGAATGGGGTTTCACGAGGAACACATATGTTGGCGGTACAATCCCCGATCTGTAAAGGGTATCTTGCCATTCACCTCTGGCCATTCTATGATAGTTAAGTCAGGCATTATTTATGCTGCGCTGCGGAGTGCGCTACTGAAAACGTGCACGCATGCGTGGGAAGAAAATTTCATGAGCCGGGTTGAGAGGCTGAAGTTGGCAGGCTACCCTGATACGGAAATCTTGAGGAGTTGTCAGAAACTAATCAGGTGGGTCAAAGGCGTAAGTGGTACGCACAGGAGAACAGAGCGCGTGCGCAATGAAAAGAAACCGGTCGTGGTACCCTACGTGCACAAGTTTTCACATTGCTTGAAAAATGTAGCCAGTAGGTGTGGGGTACGCATAGTGATGTTCCCTCCCAAGAAGTTGTCCTCCATTTGCTCCCGCGTGCATAAAAAAAGTTCGGGTCTACGAAAGACCTGCTCGTACTGTCCGAAGAAGAGAAAAAATAGATATGTTCAGTGTACATAGTGTGTTGTATATATGTTGCCATTGTCATGCGGGGGGGTTTACATAGGACAAACCGTGCGGTGCATTAACGTAAGACTAAAAGAACAATTAACCTCTTTAACGGCCGCTGGCGTGTTGCACCTGCCAGCTCATTGTAGGGAGTGTGGCTGCCAACCTTTGGCAGATAAAGCCACTTGTTTGCTTGGACATCGAGATAAGTGTACCAGGGAAGTGACGAAGGTTTCTTTCATTGAAAAGGAGGGGGAAAGGTCTGTAAGCAAGCCGTCGGTGGCCCTTGGTGAAAAAGAAGTTCGGTACCTGGGTTCAGCGTTGCCACGTTAAAGTGATTGTTAGTTTGTTGGGGACCGTTTCGTAAGTTTTTGGCAAGTAGGAAGGCAAATTTTTTTTGTGTTTTTTCAGGTTGTTACGCGTTTTGATTATCAATATGAATAGGCTTGTCTCATACCTTGTTTGCTGTGATGCGCAGACGCCTTTGGTTGTCCACGTGACCGGGTCAAATGCTTGATATATGCGCGTGTATCTTTCAATAAAGTTTAGTTGCGAGTTCAGCGCGGTGTCGTCTCTTCCACTGTCCTTGTCTACATTTTTGCGCTGTTTTTACTTTCCAAGTATGAACCACAAACTAGCCCAACCTTTGCTATTATTTTTGAAACGTTTACTAATGCTACAATTACTGTATTAGTATAATAGCTGCTACCAATACTATTTTTGAAAGCGTCACTTGCGATAATCATAAGCCCTGATATTCTTAAAGAACTTAGAGATGCCCGGAGCTAACTAAAAGAAATGCGAAATGCACTTGTAAGAGAATTTCGACAAAAAAGTTGAGATGCGAAAAGCACAATATTATTTCAAAGCAAATGTTTTGATGAGATAATGTCTGAACTGAGCGCAATTAAGAAGGAAAATGCTGAAATGCGAAAGAAAAACGCTGTGCTATCTCATGAATGCCAACAGCAGATAAAAGCTGTGCTAGAAAATGAGCAGAAAATTAGCAGAAACTCATCGAGCTGGAACAACATTGTCGAAACAAAAATCTCGAAATCAAAACTGCATCGGTTTCACAAAACGAGAACTTACCCGTTGTGATGCTGTGTTTGAAAAAGTTAAAAAAAAATGTGATTTTCTACGACAGACCTTGGTTTTACACAGCAGACCCCAGTGTTTCTAAATGAGCAAAAAAAACAAAAAAAACAAGAAGACTAGGTGTTTTCCTTGGACAAAGGTGGTAAAATATTTGCAAGAAAATCTACATCGCCTCCAGCACTGCGGATTACTGCAGAGTAATGCGGATGATTTGATAAAGTAAACTAAGCCCTATCCAACGAATTCAGTATCTGACCCTGTTTGATCAAGATGGGTGCTGATTATTTCGCTGCTTGCGGTGTAGGTTTTCTGCGTATGAAGTATGCCAAGACCTTGTCATTTATTCATGTAAACCCTCAATGAGCAAGGAATAAAAAAGAGCATAGCCTTGCCTTTTTGGCCACGCTTCATTCGGAGCCAGGCATACTCATGGTCACAGAAACGCGATACAAAAACAGCATTGATGTTTTAAGTGTCCTGGCTACGAGAGCTTTTTTACGAACCGACTATCGAAAATAGTAGGAGGCGTCGGGCTGACGGTTAAAAATGAGATTGACTGTTGCCTAGTTGCTCCTTACTTATGTGTGACATGTGATTATGAAATCGTGAGTGTCCGTTTCTCGAATATTGTGTTCCCTGTCTTATACCAACCACCAAAAAGAAATGTGCCTAATTTCTTCGTATTCTTTGATAACTTTCTGGGATGGATGAATGACAGTCAACGCAAGCTCATTTTAGCAGGTGACTTAAATATAGATTTAGGCAAAGTCTCAGCGCAACAACAAGAATTTCGCGGGCTTTTGGAAATGAATGGGTTTCAAAATACTATATTTCTTCCTACACATATTCATGGCGACACATCTACTTTACTTGATCTGTTCATTACTAATTTAGAATAAAGCCATCTTGCATAATTACTGTGCTAATTAGTGACCATCTGCAGATATTTTTTGTGACAAGCAGCTGTTGTGTTCCTATACACAGTAGGGAACATGCTCAAACTATCAGAGATGTAAGTTCATGTACTCTAGCCATGTTTTGTAACACACTAACTATGATCAATTAGTCAAATGTTATGTGCACAAAATGCCCTTGCGCAGTTTACGAAATGTTCATAAACAAATTAAAAGGTGCTTACGATAAGCCATTTCCATTTAAAACATTTAAACCTTGCTGTATATGGAAGAAACCATGAATTACAAAACAATACTTATGAGAAATAGGTGCAAAGAATAAGCTTTATATTGTGTTCTTAAATAACAAAAGTGAAGAAGTGTTTACACTTTTTGAGGCCCAAAAAAACAAAATGAATAGTCTTCTGCACTCTGAAAGAAGGCGGTAATCACATAAAAGTTTCTACATGAATGCAATGAGAAAGCCAGTGCATAAAAAAGGCTGAATGAATTTCTTGGCCACAAAAACCATAAATTACCGATCTTTCACAGGTCATTTTAAATGGTCGAACCATTTCTAGAGTGTCCTTAGAAAACAAATTTAATAAATATTTTACCTCTCTCTCAAGTGCTAACAGCCATACCCCACAGTGTCTACAGTACCTAGGTAGCCCACTGAAAGATAGTGTTTTTTTGGCTCCAACAAGCAAAAATGAAATGATTTCTGTGTTTATCTCACTGAAGAACAGTAAATCTACTGATGCCAATGGCTTCCAGATTCAACCGGTGAAGGAAGTTTTAGATACAATAGCGCCAACTGGCAGCCGTGTGAGACAGCAAAAGCTTGTTCCTCACATGCCTGTGTTTGCTTATTGCAGTTGACAACACATCAGTTGATCTTCATCGGTGCACCGTCACATGCTGTACTTCTAGGCATCCTTGACTGCGTCGCACATTTCAGGAGGCAAGCCCTCATGAAGCAAGGACACTACCGCCAACGAGTAACATCAAAGCCTTCTTATAAAACCTGCTTTGAAATACAGCGCTTCACTTAGCAGCAGTGAGGGCAGCAAAAGCTTGTTCCTCACATGCCTGTATTTGTTTATTGCCGTTGACAACACATCGGTTGATCTTCATCGATGCACTGTCACATGCTGTACTTCTATGCATCATGGACTGTGTCGCACATTTTGGGAGGCAAGCTCTGACGAAGCAAGAACACTACCATCGTCGATGAACACCAGGGGAAGCCTTCCTATAAAACCTGCTGCATTGAAATACCACGCTTCACTTGACGGCAGCAGCGAGGGCAGTGAAAGTTTGTTCCTCACAAGCCTGTGCTTTTTAATAGCAGGTAAGCACTCATTATTTGTATACTAGACAAAAATGAGAAGACTTTTGCAGCCTTTCTGCTGCCAAAGTAGTGATTTCTTGTTTGAATCATTGCTGTAGTTATGAATGAATTGACTAAATTTCGAGAAGAAATGCGAGACGAGATGCTTAAATTTAAATCGGCTATTGAGAAAGAGCTAGGATGAGAAATAAGAGACCTAAAAAACAATGTGAGCTTTTGAGCGACGAAGTGGAGAAAATGAAGAAATAGAATGCCGATCTCATGGGGGATAACAAGTCCCTCAGAGAGATTAACAAATAGCTGAGAACAGAGTGTGAAGCTTTCAAGAAATAACTGTCTCAACAAGAGCACAAGATCACTGCATCTGAGCAATACTCCTGCGGATGCAACATCGAGAATGAAGGTATACCAAAACTTGCAGATGAGGACCTTGGAAACGCCCTTTAAAGGATCGGCCAACAGCTGAATGTGTCTATCAACAAGGAAAATGTTGAAATATGTCATTGAGTACAGCTAAAGAATGCTAGTTCAATACGTAACATAATAGTGCAATTCCACAGCTGTTCCAAACGTGATTCGTTTCTCCAAAAAGCAAAAGAGACCCGCATCTCAACACAAGACCTTGGTCACTCCCTTAACACAACTGTGTTCATGAACGAACATTTATGCCGCCTAGCTCTGAAGCAGCTTCTTGGCGAGGCAATAGCTATAAAAGAAAGCCGCGAACTGGAAGTTCGTTTGGATGAATGATGGCATATGCTATGGTGTGAAAAACCTCATTGGGTCCCGAAGGTCAACCCTGAGTTGACATGAACTGTATGGCCAATCGCATCAGCCATACTTTACGGCATTTTATTTACCGGCTGATAAAAAGTGTTCCACACTCAATGTTATGGCTGTTGATGGTGCTGACTGATGCTCCAACGTTTAATGCGCATATATACCCCAGAAAGTGCACAGGGGGGTAGCCACCATGGTAGCTCAGTTGGTAGAGCATCGAACCATTATTCGAAGGCCGCAGGTTCGGTCTCTACCCATGTGAAGTTATCTTCTCGTGCACTTTTTTTTCTTCACATTTACATTACAATTACTTTCAATAACACCCCCCATACTTTCCTTGGCATGATGGTATGTTAGATCTCATTAATTAAGGCACAGGCATGTAGTGAGTATGAGACTAGTCTTGCCATTACTTGTGCTTGACGAAGGTTTTCCTTGGTGTAAGACAAGGACGGAAGAAGCCGCGCTGCTCGATCGAAGCTTTTCGGCTGTTTGCTGCACTGATACTTGTTCTCTTTTTTATTACTGTGACAAACTGGTGACCTGCTGAGTACGATGCCACTTCCCTAGCTAGAACTCAAGATGTTTCAAGCTTATGCCACCATTTCTATGATTCCAGAGGAAAACTCGGCACTTCGCCACAGTCGCTGTTTGCTAGGACTACATCCTAAATTTGGTCCCTTAAGCCTGGCAAGAGTGACCACCCTAAAGAAATGTCAGATGCAAGAGAGCGACATAGACATACTCACATTGACCCCAAGAGTCGTCTTTGCAGTGAGCATCTCTTAAGTAGTCTTATGGTGATGTGTTCGAGGACGTGCACTACTGGCTAGGCCATTTTGACCGGGTTGCAAAGAAAAAGAAAGCCGAGCAAGCTCTGCAGAGCTGGGTTCAGAAGCCAAATGAACATTTAACTATGCTTGTCGAGGATATGTCGGGCTTATTTAAACGCACTGACCCAGGGATGGATGAGACATAAAAAAAATGGCAGATCCCACGTACAATGGAAATTGATGATATGCGAAACACCAATGAGAAAGATTGTATGTCACTTTAAAATCAGAACAGCGTTACAAGGAGGCCATAAATTACCGTGTTTACTCGCGTAATCCTCGCACTCGCACAAATCTCGCACCCCCCACATTGCCCAAGAAAAATACGATTTTTTTTCTCTCGAGTAATTATCGCACCTGCGAAAACTGTCGCAATTATTCACTGTTGCAGTGAAGGGTTTAATATTCACTCGTGCCTTGACTTTAGCCACCAATCAGACAACCTTCATCAAGTTAATTCTACCCGCTTAAAGTCTATTTTGCCCTCCCTGTCCCTAAACCTCATTGCTTTGAAAAACTCTGTGCCATCATCCTGAACTATACGGTGAAGCCCTTTAAGAACATTATCAAGTGTTCGGCAGTTTTCTCCTCCTCTCCACATGCACTGCATACCGTGTCTATCCCTTCGTATATGGCACGATATGTCTCGGTTCGCAATACTCCCGTCCTGGTCTCAAAGAGTAGAGAACTACCCCAGGTATTATCATAGATCTTTTCCTTGGCAATTTCCTGCTTAAAAGTTCAATAGATCTCTAGTGCGGACTTGTTAATCATGCCAATTCTTCACATGTCAGTCTCCGTTTCCTTCACTTTCTTCTTAACCGATAGTTCTTTTTTGTTTGGCCACCTGCTGTTTTCTAAGTACTTACCAGTCAATTTCCTTGTTCGCTTCCTCCAATTTGTATCGACATTCTTCATGTACAAGTAGCTGAAAACCTTCCTAGCCCAACGCTCCTCCCCCATTTCTCTCAATCGCTTCTCAAACTTTATCTTTCTGCCAGCTTCCCTGCCCTCAAATGATGTCCATCCCATATCACCTTGCACTCCCTGATTTGGTGTATTCCCGTGAGCTCCTAAAGCTAGCCTACCTATTCCACGTTGCTTAATTTCTAATCTTGCTTGAACTTCTGATCTCATGCACAAGACCACATTGCCAAACGTCAGACCAGGAACCATGACCCCTTTCCATATTCCTTTCACAACATCATACCTATTGTAATTCCACAGTGCCCTATTTTTCATGACTGCTGCATTCCTGTTACCTTTAGTCGTCACGTATATTTCATGTTGCCTTAGGTACTCGGTCCTATTGCTTATCCATACGCCCAGATATTTGCATTTATCTGTTATCTCTAGCGTGACCTCCTGTATTCTAAGCTCACTACCTTCATTATCATTAAAAATCTTGACTGCTGATTTTTCCTTACTGAATCTGAAATCTAATCTATCTCCCTCATTACCGCAGATGTCGATCAATCTCTGCAAATCTTCCTTGTTGTCAGCTATTAGCACTATATCATCTGCATACATTAATAGTGGTAGTGCCTGATCAATGAGTTTTCCTTGTTTGACGAAAGAGAAGCTGAAGCCAAGTCCACTTCCCTCTAATTTGGCCTCTAATCCTTGTAGGTACATCATGAATAACAAGGGTGACCGGGGACACCCCTGCCTAAGTCCCCATTTCACCTCTGTAGGCTTGGATACCTGTTTTTCCCACTTTATAACTACCTTGCTACTTTTATAGATTTTCTTCAAAAGATTAGTGACTCCATCTTCCACACCTAGCGTGTCCAGTATTCCCCACAAGTCCTCTTGAACTACACTATCGTACGCTCCCTTGACATCCAAAAATGCTAGCCACAGGGGCCTGAGTTCCTTTTCTGCTATTTCGATGCACTGCGTCAGTGAGAACAGATTGTCTTTGAACCTCCTGTGTTTCCGAAACCCATTCTGCAGTTCCCCCAGCAACCCCTCATCCTCTATCCATGCCTGCAGTCTTTCCTTTATAATCTGCATCGCGAGCCTGTAACCACTGATATCACTGTTATAGGACGGTAGTTGTTTATGTCAGCTTTGTCCTCCTTTCCTTTATAGATCATGCTCATCCTGCTAAGTTTCCATCCATAGTCCCCCATCGATTATTGTTCTGCTCACTGCCTCTCTCAAAGTCTGTGTAGACTTCGGACCCAATGTCTTTATCAGCATAATTGGAATGCCATCTGGGCCTGTTGATGTACTACTTGGAACCCTCTTCTCTGCCCTTTCCCACTCTTGTTGTGAAAATGGAGCCATTGCTACACTTGATCCATCCTTGTCTATTGTGGTGCATAAGGCACTTCATTGTTGAAATTTTTCTGTCACCCTTGTTCTTATATATTCAATAGCTTTGTCCCCTTCTAGCCTAGCACCTTGAGCTGTAGTTATAAACCTCTGCTCTAGGCTTGTTTCATTTGTTAGGGAGTTTAGGTGGTTCCAAAATTTTGCAGCTGCCTTTCTGTCTTTTTTATGTACTTCTGCCAGCCACTGAGCACCCTTTCTTCTAATCTTTTCATTGATAAGGAGGTATGGTTCCCTTCAAGAGCTTAGAAAGATGTCCCATTTTCTTTCAACATCATCTGTCGGTTCACCCCGCTGCTTAGCATGTCTGTGTTCCCTAGAGGCGTCCTGACATTTCGCTATGGCTCTCTTAACTTTCTCATCCCACCAACTCTTGGGCTTGTGTCTTCTTTTCCAGGGTGACTTGTCACGTGCCTTAGCAAGCTCTAGCTCAAACAGTCTAATTAGATTTGTGTATGTTCATACTGTTTTATTATCCTCAGTGATTACTTTCTGAATTTGTTTAGTAGCAATTGCTATTTGCCTTTCTGAATGAAATTTGAAACGAGAAGGATAGCTCGCGCCATCTGGCGCCATCTCTTAAGCATCAAGCGTACTATTGCACAGAGATTCAATCCAATCCAAGCCAAGCCGAAGTGGCCAGTGCGCGTTGCGGCGCGTTTTGTATATGGTGTCGGTAATCTTGGCTCGTTATGGGGCCATACTGAAGCCACACGGCTGCTTCAAGTTGCTAGTGATAGATCACGCACTAAACAACGGCAACAGGGCCGCCGGTAGGCCCTTCGGAGCCTACGATTTTTGTGTTGGCTACTGGTAACGGCAGCAGAAAGCCACCAAGACGCGTTGGGCCTGCCGTGTGCATAAAAATGGGATTGATGATAAACTTTAATTCTTCAGAAGGAAACTGCGGACGATTCTGTTAAATAGCCATCAGCCCAATACTGACGTCCTACGTTTACCTTTTGAGGACTCCTGTTGAGCGCAGACCGTTACCACTACGCCCACAAGCTTACGTATGATATTCTAATTCTCA